ATGTTGAATATTTCATTATTTTGTGAAGAAAGATGAAAACACTCTTTGATTTTAGTAAATATTTAAAATACAGAAGCAGAAATCGTCCAGAAAGATGTTATGTATAATATATTATATATATTATAAACGTTTCAATCCACAATTTATCTGAGGAATCTAAAACTGACTTCACTAATGATTTTTTATTTTGTCCACAGAGTACCATTGAAGATTCCAGTAAATTATATAACCATCTTCTTCCTCGTCTAGAAAGGGAAATATTTTCACAAAAACATAAAAAGGCACATATACCAACCAAGAGTGATTCGAAGAGCAACTAACTTGGGACAGCTTTTGAATATACATACAAAAATTCATAGCAGCGTTTTGTGATTGGTAGATTATTCTATCAATGGTAAATTATGTGTTGGAAATCCGATGTGCAAGTTTCTATACAACACCCTGTACCTGACAGAATGCACTGTAAAATCTATTCTGTTCTCAATTACCAATTCGCTAGAGTTAAAGTAGTATATTTATTATAAGGCATTATTTGAAACATGTTTTATTGGATGTAAATTTACAAGTTTGATGGTGAATCAAATGTTAGAGAGTTATGAAAAAATTTTTCTCTCAGGTATAGACTTAGTACTTTGTCTGTTCGTAATTGGTAATTCAGAAATATGTACAGTTTATTGGAATATTGAATCCACTAATGGTTAATATAGCAGTCAGATTTCAAAACTATATAAATACATGAATTTTCATTTTGTAAATTTCTTAATTATCGAATGTGAATGTTATATTTTGGCTTATACTTCGCTAGCCGTGTTTGAATGTATGGTTAATTATATTTTGTAATTCTTAGGCAATAAATTGAATTTTAACAGAATGATTCATTATATCTTTACCTGGGTCTACCATAAGAATCTAAGTTCATTTTGGATTTTCATTGTGAAAGCTTAGTGGAACGCACCACAAATGAAACGTTTTTTATGAAAATGCTTTGCAAGATATCTACTGATATTGTTACTGACATGAAATAGAACTGGAGGTATTGAAATATCTGGATGACTCAACAAAAAATGTACCCATGTTGAAGGAATACCTCTTAATGAAACTCTTTTTTTAAATATAATTTATGTTTGCTATCATCTGAGTCGGTGAAACGGTTATTTTCATTCACCATAAATACCACAAAGCCCAAGCGATTCATTAGTTGAGTAATTAGTACCTAATGATAAATAATAAGATGAATTTATGTTGTTTGAACTTTTTTCAATAGTTTTTTTTAGTTTATGAATTTTATTGGTTTTCTATCATTTCATTTATTTGGTTTGAATTGAAGGGGTTATATTTTTAGGAGTGATTAATTTTTTTGGGAAAAAAAAATTATTTGGTTATTTTGTATGTGTTTAGGCCAAATATTCGAAAACATTGTACCGCAATTTAAACCATACACAAAATATAATAAGCCTAGTTTATTTGAAGCTCTCGCAAATTGAAGGTTTACCATTTGAAGATTCAAGTTATAACCTTAATTTTTGCTTCAATTTATAACCTTAATTTTTGCGACAGATGTCAAAGAAACTTCTTTGACATCTGTCGAAGAAGTAAAGAAATAAGCTCTCAAAAAAAAAGGAATAACTGCGTATATATTCGAATTTTTATCAAAAAAATCGACAGGATTGAAGTCCGGTGACCTCGGGGGCCAATCCTCAGTGTCTCCTCTTCCTATCCATCGTTGGGCATATGCTACATCTGAAAACGTTCTTGTTATAACACTAAAATGAGCAGGAGCTCCATCGTGCATAAACCAAGAGTGATTTCGGAGACCAATGGAACATCTTCCGTAAGTTGGGGAAGCTCGTGTTCCAAAATATGTAGGTAAGCATCTCCATTCAAACGTAAGGGGAGAAAATAGGGCCCAGTTAAATAATCCTCAATTATGCCTACCCATACATTAAAAGAGAATCTGTCTTGGAAATGAGTTTGCATTATAAGGGTCCGGGACCAGATGGCATTTCACCGATGCTACTGAAAACCTGTAGATTTACACTAGCTAAACCATTATTATTATTATTTTCAGCTTCACTTAGTTTGGGAAAATTCCCCCTCATTTGGAAATCAAGTTATATAACGCCAATTTTCAAGTCTGGTAGCAAAGCTGACATAAATAATTTAAGACCGATCAGCATATTAAGTACAATACCCAAACTACTTGAACACATCATTTGTGATAATATAAAGAGTCCTTTAAAACAAGTGATTATCGACGAACAGCACGGATTTAGTGAAGGTAAATCTACCAACACTAATCTACTGTTGTACACCCAGAATATTTTGAATACTCTGGAAAATAAACAAGTGGAAGTAATTTACACCGAATTTTCAAAAGCATTTGACATCGTGAACCATAAAGTTCTTTGTGAAAAATTAAAGGCAATTGGCTTTTTTGGGAGTTTGCTGGACTGGTTCTCAAGTTATCTTTGTGATAGATCACAGTTTGTGAAAATTAAAGGATTTATCTCTCATGAGATATCTATTACCTCAGGAGTACCTCAAGGAAGTCTCTTGGGACCTTTTCTCTTCAATATCTATGTAAATGATATCAAAGATAAAATTACCCACTGCGAAATACTGATGTTTGCAGAAGATCTAAACATTTTTAGAACAATTGATTCGTTGCAGGATTGTGCGAAAATTCAAATGGACCTTAAATCTTGTTCTGATTGGTGTAAGATGAATTATATGGATGTCAATGCGGCAAAATGTAAAAGTATTTCCTTTTCAAAGTCATTAAACCTTTATACAGCTGGTTATAGTATTGCAGGGAAGAAGTTGGAATGTGTACAATCTATACGAGATCTGGGTGTTATATGATGGATGACAAGATGGACTTTTATTTACAGTATGAACACATATCTAACAAAGCGATAAAAATGTTAGGATCCATATGCAGATCAACAAATGATTCTACCAACATTTTTTATATTAAAATACTATACTTTGCATTGGTTAGATCAGTGATTGAGTATTGCACTTGTATCTGGTCTCCAACATACTTCAATCACAGTTATGATATTGAGAAAGTTCAGAATAAATTTCTTAGATAGGTTGCCTACAAAATGAACATGCCAGCAGAAGTCATTCGCTCTTTGAAATTCGCTCTACTATTGGATTGCCCAAACTCAGTACAAGACGGGCACATGCAGACATAATATTCCTACATAAATTGTTGAACAACGAAAGGAATTGCCCAACTCTTCTCTGTCAAGTCAATCTGCATGTTCCCCCGAGAAGGACACGTAACAACCAAACTTTCAGTCTCGACTTTCATAGGTGTAATTATGGAAAACATTCTCCTCTCTCCAGAATTCTATCGAATGCTAATAGGACCAATATTGATTTTTTTCATATCTCTTAGAATCTAGATGTTACATGAAAATTAATACGAAATTATGATTTCCCACGTCAAAAAAAACCTCGGGTACCAAATTTCGTGCAAATAACTTATTTTTTGCAAGAGTTATTTTCAAAAAGCGAACAAAAAAATTAAATTTCAACACCCCGAATCTCCAAAACGAAGCATTTTCGGACACAAGTTCATATAGACTTTTTTTCTTAAAATTGTCTCAGGAATACGTCACTTGAATACTTTAACGTACTTATGTTACACCCTGTATATATGGAACTACATACAAAATTACTGCCTTTTACATTAAAATTATTTGACTCTGGTAGACACTTTAAGTAAAATAAGTGTTCAATCATTTTCAAAGTGTTGAATATGAGTTAGATATGTTATCAAATGTGAAAAATAAAACGTCTCTCGCTACAGGTAACATTGAATAAATTTAAAAAATAACTATTTCAACACGAATCTTTATTTTTGTTAGGTATTTCAATAAGAACCATTGAAAGAGTGGTTTAAAGGAGGGGGGCAATTATTAATTTCTGCAAATAAGGGAGAAGTAAAATTTTCCACCACAAGAAGGAAGATATTTCCGAGTGTAAGTATTTCAATATAGACGGATTATTTACGACTTTCATAAGACGGAAGGGTGTCGTATTATGGTAAAAAAGCCCACACAAAATTAATGACGTTTTGGAAATTGTTGCTTCCAAAACATCTCTTCGTAGAATTTTAAAGAAAATAGGTTTCAAATGGAAAAGGACGGAAAATGGTAGAAAAATTTCAATAGAGAAAATGGATGAGAGCATTGAGAATCGAGTACTTGGAAAAAAATATTTATTTTCGTAGCCAAATGCGACCAATTGAGTTTCTTGATAAAACATACCTTCATAGTGGACATACATCTTCCAAGAACTGGACGAATGAATCTCAACCAAATTGTTATTTAAAAATATTGCCAAGGGACCAAGACTCATTGTCTATGCAGGAGGTGACATGGGCTTTATACCTAATTGTCTGCTTATATTTAAATAAGGCACATCAGGGGATTATCATTCAGAAATGAATTCTGAAAATTATGTGAATGGTTACAAGAAAGGTTTATCCCAAACCTACCTGTGATTTCAGTAGTCGTGACCGATAATGCTCCATACCATAATATTCAAATTAATCCAGCCCCCAAAGCTGACATGGTGAAGTGGCTGTACGAAAAAATCATTATGTTCACCCCAAACATGCTCAAACCCGAATTATACGAGTTGATCAAGGTAAATAAAAAGATATATTAGATACAAATTTGATGAGGTTCTGCTTGAACATGGACATTACGTTTTGCAACTCTTTCACCCTACCATCCGGATTTGAATCCCATTGAACTCATTTTGGCTACTGTCTAAAACAACTTATGCCAAAAGAATGTACCTTTCAAGTTGGAAGATGTGAGAAAACTGGGGGAACATGAGTTTGATCAAATCACAAAAGCATTGCCAATTGATGACATGTAGCATTGCCAACATGTCATCAATTTTAAACCCCAACAAATCTACATGTTGCTTCGTTGTTACTTGTCGATTTGTTCTAGAACATAGGTCCATCAAGTCGTTAACATTTGAGTCTGCTTCTACCATTGTAAGAAATAAAAAATCTCATTAATATGTACCGGTATGGAACCTCGTGGTACACCATGTGAAATGGATTTACATGTGCTAAAATTTCCAGATGTGTAAACAACTTGCTTTCTCTCACGTAAGTAGGTTTCCATTAGCTCTAAAACTCTGCCCTGTATCCCATAATATACCTTATCTAGTATGAGCTCATGATTTACATTGTCAAAAGCCTTACTAAGATCACAGAAAGGTAGAACAGACACCAGGCCCTTTTCTATATTCTCTATTATTGAATCGAGTATAGCCAACACAGCTTGGGTTGTCAATTTGTTAGACCTAAATCAGAATTGATTTTCATCAAGTACTGAATGAGCATATAAAAAAGAAATCAAGCGGTCTTTAATCAGCATCTCAAAAGTTTTACCAAAGATAGGAATGATTGATATGGGTCTATAGTTATCTAGAATATTTGGATCGCCCTTTTGAAATATGAGAATAACTTTACTTGTTTTAAAGATGTCTGGAAATAGTCCTTCACAGAGGTAACGATTAAAAAGAACAGTCAATGGACCAGAAACAAGGTGTATGGTTTCTTTAATCATTCTACTGTTTAAGTTGTATATGTCTAAGCAAGCAGAGTTATTTAATTTAATTATTGCTTGTTCAACTTCAATCTCAGTAACTGGACTGGGGAAGATAGAAGTGCTAAGTTTGGGGAGTGTAAAAAAGTAGGTTAGAGGAATAATGTTACAGGAGGGTAGATATTTTACAATTTGTTCAGCTACATTTGTGAAAAATATGTTATATTCATGAGGGGAAATACTGCTTGAGGCTATAGAGGTTTTCTCTCATTTGTTTTAATTTGTCGTTGAAAAATGTCACTGGTCTTTTGTCTCTGTTATTGATTCGTTTTAGTGAGAAAATTGATTTACAAGAGAACTGTAAGTCACGTTGATAAATTCTGCTATTTTATTTATGTTGTTGTTTTCGACATAGTGACTTTCAAATCAACTATTTCTAACGCTACTTGTAGAGAGTTCAATCCTTTTTTTGTGATACATCTATTAATGTTGTTTTCGATGCAATCATCAGGATAGGTAGATATTGTAATAAATTGCCCTGCGTGATCAGCAATACAGGCATAGAAAATTCCCGTTTCACAGATAGAATTAACCAGATCAGTAAAAATATTATCAATGCAACAAGAAGACCTCACAGTGCTCCTCGTTGGTAAATTAATTTTAGGTTTGAGATCAAAATATAACTCAAATTTTCTAGACAATGAAGATCTATAGGATATAATTAGAACTGTGCTATGACAGAGTATTGATATAAAATGTCACATGGAACACTAACATCATCACTGGTGCATTAGTACCTTTTTGGATAACATTACATAACAAAGCACTAACTTTTTTTCATAACATTAACACTTCGTGTCAAAGGAAGAGTTAACTCGTAAAGTTAGTCAGTTTAATCCCAGAAAAAAAAATTTTTTTCAAATTGAAAAGGGGAATATTTTTGATTTGGGTATTCTCTCCCAGTTTGTATCTGAAAGAAACTTCTGTATATGATCTACACATCTTCATCTTCAAAGAGTTTTTATTGTAGTTTTTTCTTCCTTTCTTTGTAAGTTTTGCGCATTTTTTGTTTGATGATGGAGAAGTAGGAAGCCAAAAATCTTGTTCCCCAAAAAATCAATCTCTCTTGAATATTTCCTTTTCAATTTATACCTTTTCTTAATAACGGAAAACTAAACAAACACAGTGAGTACCCCAAATACGTCCAAGTTGGTAGTAAACTGTCAAAAAAGGCTCAACAAATTGTCTCTAGTTTGGAAGGTAATGAAGATGTAGACTTTCTTGAGAAGAAAGGGGATGCGAGCAATTTCGTCGGATGAGGATCTATCATTGGCATCACTTTAGGCTTGGCCAGACAAATTCTGAATACCTGTACTGCCAAAAGAGTTTCCGACTTGTGGCAAAATCTAACATGATTGGTCCATTTCAAGACCACCCTTTGAAGTATGTTGTCAAATAATTGGTAAATTACAGTAGGGTGACGTACCTAGAAGGGATATAAACAATTTTTTATTTCATCTATTCAGTATAGAGGTACGAAAATGTTGCGAAGAAAATCCACATATATTTCAACTGTAAATTATGAACCCACTGACCTGTTAGAAAACTTAATTAGATAAATGATTATTTTTTGTGAAACAAAGATTAAAAGAACAATACTACATTTCATACTACAATTCAGTTCAGGAGTATCTTGACGATTCACTTGAATCTTAACTTTTATTTCTATGTCTTGTTATTTCCAGCTGAATATCTCAGTGTATTTCACATAAGCGCATAGGCATAGAAAGGAGCAGGTGGAGGGTGCCGGATTATTTCAAAAATCTATATATTTCACCAGAATTGATAATATTTACCATAATTGATAATTTTTTATCTTATCAAGTCTTATAAGTACCTTCTGATATATAAAAGGTATCAAATAACATTTGTGAAACTCTATACTCATTATCATGGATACTTTCAACAGTCATATCGAATATTTCAACAGAGATTGTTCTCTTTCTCCACAATGATCTTTGCTGTTTTATTTGTCAAGAACATATTTTAAAATTTTTGAGATTTTGCCCAAAGGATTTTCATTATTCATGGAGATGTGTGTGATGGATATTATCTAGATTAATTAGCAGGTCCTCCTTGCAAGTTTCTGGTGTTGTTCTTGGTATAATTAAAATACAAAGCATAAGCTTTGGAGTAACAATTTGACAAAAATGTTAGTTTCACTTACCAACGGAGACTTTACTTTTAGCTCTGAGCTATCCAACAACAACCACTACAACTAATATATTCATTAATGATTGGAAAAGGGTGTACAAAAATATGGGTACAACAATTGATAATTTATTCAAAATGAATAATTTTGCTATCAATACAATCTGTAAAAAAATAACAATTTTATTTATTTCAAAATTCCACCTTTTCAATTTCATGTGATGATCATATATTATTGATTCTTTAGTCAATAAAAAATGCTTTATTTAATTCTTTCAAATCCCTTTTATCTACCGCAGACTTGAGTTCACCTCTGTTCATTAGAGAAATACACATACGGAGAGTAGTCCAAATAGTGTCTGACATTTGGGATACAGAACCTGAGTTTGATACATCTTTACCTCTAGCCTGCTGATTTAGAGCTATCAAGAAATGCTCTGCAGCTTCCCTGAAAACGAAAACAATTACTCTAAAATAATTTTTCATTTTGAAAACATACTAAAAGTAAAAAAAAGTCAACGCCACAACCATCGAAGTGTTTAAAGTTACATATTTATGTTCTGATATGTCCCACATAAATTATTTTTCACAAGAAAGTGAAATCCAAATAAGGGGTTCAAAAAAATTTCCAAACACATGAATTGAATCAGATTTGAATCTAAATAGTCAGACTAGAAAAAATAACTGGTTGACAACATTTCCAAGGATATATAAAATCAAATCCATGACATTTTCTTGTAGTAAATAATGTCAACTAAAACATGATCAATTGAAAATTCACAGTTCAAAACATTTTCAAAAATGTCACGCACTCTGAAATATAATAAAAGCCCCAGAAATGCTACATCTAGAAATTTAACTAAATTGTTGCCTGAAGTCTTTATAAATTCAGACTTCTACAATAAATTTGACGTGAACACTTCAATGTTTCATCATGCTTTATCTTTTAATATTAAGACCTACTGAGTTATCTTTTGGGGTGGTACACATGAAAATTCATTAAAATATGTCAAGTTCATTCATAAGTATGCAACAAAAATGATTTATAGAAACCATTTGGATTTCCATCAAAAGTTTTATTCAGGAAATATTCCATTCCAACCATTGAACAAACATTTTACCAAATTAATACAATTCAAGTAAAGAAACATTCTAGAAGCACTGAAATAATTCATGATAAAACACTAAATGAACAATATCAATTGTCATATTCGTTTTTAAATAATGCAGTTGAACGCAAGTGTTTACATAGACTGTGTTGAAATGTTATTCTACTGCATATTTGTTAATAAATTTGAATTTGAACAACTCTCTAACAACTTCCTTCGACTCTTTCCAAGTATATAATATTTTCAGAATAATATTGTAGGATAGCTTAAATGAAGTTAATAAAACATTGGATGTCCGGGTAATGGTTTGCGAACTAGCTAACAAGCATCTTACACTCCATAATTTCAAGTATACTCTCCAAACTACACTTTTTGAAAATTATTTCATTCTGAGAGCGGTATTTTTGAAAAATAAACTTAATTGAATAGAACTGGCCGATACTTGATGAAAATCCAGATTAAAAAACTAATCAAGGCAGTTTAGTTTTTTTTAAATAAACTTCCTAAAATTATTTTTGAAAAAAAATATGATTTATCTTGATATAAATATCTTTATTATTGCTCAATGAGAAGGAATCGATAAAAAAAACTCTCAACTATCTAAGAAGACTCACCGGTAAGCATTCAAATTTATACAGGTTATTCCTACATTATACCTCGCTCTAATAAAACCAGGTGATATATTTAATGCGTGGTGGTATGCATCTACCGCTTCTTCTGGTTTAGAACCATTTGCTAAAGTTGCTCCTAACCTATTCCACAATCTAGCATCCTGAAAATATTTGAAAATATTTATTGACATACCAAAGTTAAAGATGATGTGAAAATCAGATCGAAAATTTGTTTTGAAGCAAATAGTTATTTATGTATCAAGGGAATTAGGAGGGCCTTAATTACCGATGGCAAAGTTTGCGTCCCGAGGGCCTCTGGCCCGAGGGACAGCAATTGCCTGAGGTTATTAAGGCTCATTAATTCCCGTGGTACATAGATAATTTTATTTCTGACCGATTTCAATAAAATTTTGTTCATTTTTGAAACGGAAAAATGTACCAATTCATTACCTTCCCGGTATATTTGAATCAGGTACCGTTGATTATAGTAGAGTTTTCTTGTTGCTAGGTTGTTGCTNTTGAAATTATTGAATATTTCATCCGTAATTAAAGATTCAAATACTTTGGGAATACAAGAAATTTTCGAGATACCCCTGTAATTCTGAATATCATTTCTGTTTCCACTTTTGAATACTGGAGAAAGGAAAGATTTTTTCCAAACACCTGGAAAAATCCCTGTATCAAATGATCTTTGAAAAAGTATTTTAAGGGGATGTGATAAACTGTGACAGCAATTCCTTAACAATACTGGCGGAATTCCGTCAGGACCCGCGCCCTTTGAGACATCTAGGTTTTTCAATTTATTTTCAATTACCACTTCACTGAAGGTGTGGAAAGATAACGTGTTAATATCATAATTGGTATGGTATTGGTCTTGGTTATTTATATATTAAATGATTATTTTCATTCGAAGCAAGTACAGTAGAATCCGGATATAACGACCTTCAAGGGACCGGATATACTATGTCATACTAACCGGACGACGCACAAAACGGATTAATTTTGTGGTAGTAAAGTGTACCTTAGTTCATTAGTCTTTCATTTAGCTGTTCGGATTGCTGATCGATAGGTGAATAAAACATTTTATAGGAATCACGTATGCCTTATTTTAATAGTTCTTAAATATCCTAATGTACAAACACATGTACACGCAATGCACGAAAAAACTGTGTTACTAACGTAGAAAGTCTGTTATCTGAGTTTGTTTTTGACAAACTTTTGGTCGGTAGTAACAATTTCGTACAGCATTATGAATTCGCGAAATCATTGTTTTCATAACATCATCATCCAAGTTAGCCTGAACAAACACATTGAGCGTTTCCGCAGCTTTCAGAGCTTCAAACGCACTTAAGGTTGGATAAATCTCCTCTAGTGCGTCATCACTGTCATTATCTTTGCTACTCGCATCGTTGGCAATTATATTTTCCAAAAGGTTTTCATCAGACGGTTCCTCACAAGTGGCGACAGTACCATCGAAACACGCGTATTCTTCAAAGTCCTTGTTTGTTATAAGTAACTGATGCATATCAATAGCCCTAGCCCAAATGCTCAGCGGCAATACGTCTTCTTCGTTAAAATCCTCTGGGTTTGAAGTTAGGCTACATTCTACATTGTTTCGCAATGCCTTATCCAAATGCTCATGAGTAAAAGTCCTTCTAATCCGTGTAATATTGAATTTTTTTCTTCGATTGCAAAACACTTTTGCTCACAGAATTCATTTTGTCGAACTTTATGAACTTACAACAAGTGGAGTAAAATCAATTTATCAATATCTGTTAGTAGTAGTACCTATCAATACAGGTACCTAAGAATACTACCTGTTAGTAGTACCTATCAATAGAGGAACCTAAGAAGAGGGAGTACGCCGAGGTATTGGTGCGCAGATTGTGTAAACAAAACATTGCGCGACGTTCTAACCGGATGTAGTATCATGAAAAACGGTCGCTATAATAAGCGGTTGGTCGCTTAAACCGGAGTCGCACTAAACGATATATTTTCTCAGTAACTAAATATGAAACTAAACTTGGGTAAATATTATCGTCGGTGTAAACGGATAGTCGTTATAAGCGGAGTCGTTATATATGAATTCTGCTGTA